GGTTTTTAATTCAAAGCCCCCCGCCCCAGACAACTCTGGGGGAGGCAAGTCCTGGCCCCGCCCCTTCTGCCCCAGGTCCCGCCCCTTCCAGGGGTGGAGCCGGCCCGTGACCGCTACCAAAATGCATTAAGTGGCCCCTGTGTGAAAATTATTGCCCACCCCTGTGCTAAGAACTCCCCGGCGAGGGCGGCTCTGGATTTCCCTCAGCCCGCCCTCCCCGGCTGCAGGGAGGCTGCGTGGGAGAGACGGGAGGCCCCTCTGTCACACAAAACATATTTACTGGGCCCCTCTGATGACGGACGCTGGGGGGAAGCCCCTGGAAAGGCTCCACCCTTTGTAACAGCCCAGGGGTCGCGCACGGCTCCTGGCTCCTCTCCGGGAGACACGCGGCACAATCTGCCGGGCACAGGGGCCCAACCGGGAGAGGGCGGGCAGATCGGTAAGTGGCCGTTTCACTGCCCGGACCCCCGGCTGTTGTGAGCCCTGCATTCCCCAGCGCCCACGCGGCCCTTTCCATCGCTCCCCCAGCGTGTTCCCGCTGCCCCCGGGGGAAAGGCCCCTCCCTTGCATCTTCCCCAAGGCCACAGTCCAGCATTGGCGCCTGTTCACCAGCTAGGGCAACGCCAGGGGCGCCCGGAGAGGCCCGGGGGGACGATTAGCTCAGTGGTCACCCAGCGGGAGATCAGGACCCTGCAGCAGCTGCCTGGGGCGGGGGCCGCGTTAACCCCCGCAGCGCTGGCCAGCAGCATGCTTCCCCCCGCGGCTGCAGGAACCTGCTTGGCCTGCTCCTGGCAGCACCAGGCTGAGCACCAGTGGCGGGGGGGGGGGGGGGCGGGGGGGGGGGGGGGGCACTGATGTCCGGGTGTCCCTCCTCCCCCTAATCCTGTACCCTGTCTCCACACAAAGGGAAGGGGATGGAGAGAGCTTGGCACTGCAAATCTGTCACTGTCACAGTGTGTGTGTCTGTCTCGTTCACAAACACGCACGGTCCTTCATTCATCTCGGGCCACAACACATCAGAGAGCGAGTTTACTTCTCTTACTGTTTGCAAAGAGGGTTATTTTCAGCTTTGGACTGGTCTGTGCATTTCATCATTTTCATTTCTCTCTTCTGCTTACACTCAATTGAATTCTTTGAGCAGTGAGTTCTAAAACACCGAACCTGACACGGCTGGAGTCATTACCCCTGTGGTAATTGCTGCTCCTGGAAGTGGCTGGCCCGG